GACCACGGAGGATGGAAGGCTGAGTCAACCTTGAGCCAGTGAGAATCGAACTGTGGCAGTGAGCGGAATTAGCCTGCAATACTGCATTCTGACCACTGCACCACCATGGCTCCTAATAACACCGTTGTTAAGTGAACCTGGCTTCCCATTTTGTCAGAAGGTTGCAAAAGATGATCCCAGAACCCAAGACACTGTAACTGTCATAAATGTGAGTCAGTTGCCAAGCTTCTGAAGGTGATTGTAGGGATAAAAACCAAAGTCAATAGACCTGACTGTGATTGCCTTTGAAGCATTGCTAAATACAATGCAATCATTATTACTCTCTATATGAAGGGTGTCAGGGCACCCCAACTCTAAAAACACCTAAAATTGTGACTCGTAAGAACGGTGGGTGTTCTTGCATAACGTCTCATGAGAGTTGAGGTTTTTAATTAAAAAAACTAATTTTTAAAAAATATTTTCATAGTGCTCCTGACACTGCGTGAGATCAAATACCAGTGCATCGGGGTGTACAAAAGCTTCCATTCAAATTGGTTCATGCACAAAATATTCCATTTCAAGCATGAAATTACTGTATTGAGTACAAAAATTGACTGTTCCAAGAATTTCGGAAGAGTTTTGCATCCAAACAGTTTTCTTTCAATGCAACACTCTGTTTTACACTAGAGAGCATTGTACATACATTGAAAACGGCCACTTTCATAACCCAAACAGGAACTTTGGAGAAACTTTTACACACTTTGGATCCAAGCATCCACCGACTGCTTACTGGTTCCTGCTACTTACAGTGATTTCCAATTGGACTCTGATGTAAGCAAAATAGCACAGTTCACCCATAACATTTCAAGCACCAAATAGTCTGCCCATTTCTATGAAAGAAAACCTAATCACAGGTCCAGAAGAATCCCAACATTAGCAAACTACCAAGATAAAAGCTTCCAAGGTGGGGTAAACCCCATATCTGTCCCAACACCTGCATGGATGGCATGGAATGGAATGTTTACTATTGGGCTGAAAAAAACAAAAACAGAAAACCAAGAAAAGACAAACAAAGGAAATACCCTAAAATAGGAAGTTAGCTGATTAGAATCCTGAATAGGAAGCAATCCATACTGGTAGTCCTTGACTTATGACCACAATTAAGCCTAAAATTTATGTTGTTAAGTGAGACATTTGTTAGGTGAATTTTGCCCCAGTTTAAGACCTTTCTTGTTGCAGTTGTTAAGCAAACCACTACAGGTGATAAGTTAGTAACGCGGTTGTTAAGTGAATCTGGCTTCCCCATTGACTTTTGCTTGTCAAAAGGCCGAAAAAGGGATCACATGACCTTGGTCATAAACAACGGTCATAAATATGAATCAGCTGCCAAGCACCTAAATTTCAATCACATGATCATGGGGACGCTGGAAAAGTTGTAAGTGTGAAAACTGGTCAGAAGTCACTTTTTTCAGTGTTGTAACTTTGAATGGTCACTAAATGAACTGTTCTAAGTGGAGGACTTCCTGTACAGGTAGTCAACAAAGTTACGACGGACCCCAGCCGGGATACTTAACGACCTGGTTTCAAAGTTTTGACACTGCTGCAGAAACAAGATTGTAAAAATGGTCGGTCGTGGGATGAGCTATTTTTATGACCACCGCAACTTATGACTGCAATTGGCAGGCTCCATTATAAGTCAAGGATTGCCTCTATTTTGCAGTTCCCTCTGGTTGAAGATTGTCACTACCATCACTTTAACACACATAGCCTCCATTTACTTGGCTTCCGCAAAGGAATTACGCTGATCCCTCAGGACTCCTTGACATACCACATTTATTCTTCTGCATCTCCATACAACGATCATTGATGAGCTGGATGGCTCCCAGGCATCGCACTTCCTCATTCACACATAAGTTCTAAAATAAATTGACAGGTGCAAACAGAGATCAGTTATTAAACCAGTTATTAAAGTTTGGTCTAGGTATTAAGGCACAGTTCCCCAACCTTTCCGGCTTTGAGAGCCAGGGGGAAAAGGGAATGCTTCCACGTGAGTGCCCAGCTAGTGCATGCATGCGTGAAGCTCCATTTGCACAAGCGGCCTGCATGTGACCCACCGTGTATGCAAATGGAGTGCACACACTTGTCCGCTATTTGCGCAAATGGGGTTGCACGCATGCATGCTTGCCCATCACTTCTGTGGACCGGTTCCAAATGGCTTATGGCCAGGGTGGGATTCAGCCCGTTCGGGCCAGTTCGGGCAAACCAGATGTTAAATTTACATCTGGTTCGCCGAACCGGTAGTTGGACCAAATAGCTGGCCCCGCCCATCCTGCCCCTCCCCCAGGAATCTCCACGCAGCCTGTTTTCGATGCAGGTAAGTGTAGGATCTGTGCGGAGGCTCTGGGAGGGCGAAAAACGGCCCTCCCGGAAGTTCCGGAAACGGGCCTGTTTCCGGCTTCTGGAGGGCCTCAGGAGCCCGGGGGAAGCCGTTTTCCCCCTCCCAGAGGCCCGAGGAAAGCCTCCAGACTGTGGGGAAGGCGAAAAACCAAAAGTTCTGGAAGTCCAGAAACAGGCCTGTTTCCGGAGGGCCTCCGGAGCCCAGGGGAGGCCATTTTCGCCCTCCCAGAGGCTCGAAGGAGCAGCTCACAATCACTCTCTCTCAACACAACACAACCTTATAGAGTTGTTGTGGGAAAAATAGGAGGATAGTGTGTTGCATGTGTTGCCACCTTGGGTTATTGTAAACATAATAAAGATGGCAGAGAGATGAAGGGAGGGAGGAAGAGAGAGAGAAGAGGGGAGGGGGGGAGAGTGAGAGATGATAGAAAAGTTTCACTCTGTTCCCTTCAGTATTCCAGGGGAAAACAAGGCAAACCAAAAAGGCTGTAAAAATTCACAAATATACAAATTCACAATGAAAATAATGCATTGTCTTCAAGGCTGCTAATAAGATGCATTGTTTGGCTACAGAATACTTACATTGAATTCAGGTTCCTGAAATTTTAAAATTATTCTTTTAGTTGGCATTTTAGAACTCCTGAGTCAGAGGACTATCAAAGCAAAGCCATATTGAGTTCATTTTTATCTCCCCTTTCATCACTTAGTCAAGCATTAAGTATTCTGCCTTTTATGCATTCCCACCTCATACTACAGGCTGATAACACAGGGTAAGTGTACTGTGTGGGAATAAAAAGGATATGAAGCTACACAGGGAAACCAAACACAAGCTTGCTCATTTTCATGGCAATTCCTAGGTTATGGCTCCTTGAAGGAATGTCAGAATTCTTAACGCTCCGTTTTATTATTAGTGTGGTTGTAATTACAGTTATTATTCTGTTGCTTTGCATGTACACTGACAGCTTCTGCAACACAGACAAATTCTCTGTGCGTCTAACCACTCTTGGCCAAATAAAAGTATTCAATTCCACTCCATTCTATTGCTTTGAGAAAGATACCTACCTGCCTAGAGCCCAAAGACACCAGGCGAGTCTCCTTACTAAAAGGGCTCTTCTGAACTTCGTGGATAAATTGAGCCAGCTGGGAATGTGTCCGGCTGCAGTAATAAATCTGCAAAAGAGATTGAGAAGATATAAGAATCCTATTCATGAAGAGCAGTGCTTGTCAGCCTTGACAGCTTTAAATGTGTGGGCTTCAACTCCCAGAATTGCCCAGTCAGAATGCTGGATGGTTGGATATTGATATTGAGGGAGCTTGGTTGTCACAGCAATACAGAATCTGTTGTTTCTTGTCCACTGTCTTCTCTCTTGTTTATTTTGATCCTTGAAATACTTAATAGAGATTACCAGACAAGATGAGAGGATTGTTGGAGTAAAGATTTTAAAATGAAGTTAAAAGTTAAAGGCTCTTGCAGATAACTTGGTGTTGGCTTTTGCAAGGTCTTTTAAATTTAAAGGGAATTGACACATTAATCGGAAAACTAAAAGAATTTGGTTCCTTAACAGGTTTTAAGATCAACAAACAAAAGATGAAGATGTTGACAAAAGTATTAAAATAGATCAGAGAATTAATGAATGGGTTTTGAGAAGAAAGTAAATTATTATCTGGGTATCATTATGACAAGTAGGAACTGTGTGTTATTTCAAAATAATTAAGCTAAGACATGAAATGAGGTTTAAAAAGACATGTTAGGATGGTAAAAACTAAATTGTCATTGCTAGGAGTATTACTGTGATAAAACTGAATGTCTTGCCTAGAATGATGTTTTTGTTTCAGACAATACCTGTTTTGACAACTGCTACACCATTTAAACCATTTAAACAAATACTGAATCACTTAATTCCATATTTTGCCAGCAAATATTGGCAGCATGATATTACGCTGCTTCAGGGCTTCTTTTCAAAAAGATTGGCTATCTCTGATTTAACTATATGTTTGAAAATAAAACGAAGTGTTAATTTTAACTGAAAGAAACAGGAAAGGATTAAAACAGATGAAGGAAAATTGTCAGGCTATGAAAGGAGGTGTGCCAACAATTTACTATTAATTCCCATGGATGGTTTTGCAAAGCAGTTGTGGGAAAAAACATATACCCCTTGCAACTTGCCTTTGCAACATGCTCTTCCTGTAGGTCATCATCATCTTCATCACTATCCACTCCAGTTAACCTAAAGAGTGAAAAGAGAAAAGTAATGCTCAGAAACATTTTTTCCATGCACTAACCTGGCCCTATCAGATTATCTTCTAAACAACACATTTCAGAATGGCCCAGCAGTTTCTACCAGTTCACTGACCCCTTTAGGCTCAGTGTATCAAAAATTTAGAAAATGCTTAACCTAACTCTGCTGAGATCTTTCTCTTTCTCTCATTCTCTCATTCTCTCATTCTCTCCCTCTCTCCCCCTTCCTCTCTCTCAATTCCTCTCTCCCTTTCTCTCTCTCCCTCCCTCCCTCTCTCACACAGCCCACCCCGAATAGAACTCTTTATTTATTCCTTTATCTTAAAAAGTCCCATCATGTGCGTGATTCCCCAGGATCTGCTGTGTGCTGCTTACCTTCAAGCAGTGCTCCCTTTCGATGGACAGGCCCCTATGGCCTACCCAAGGAAGCTCAGGATTGCACGAGGCCTATTCTTGAAGCAGCTTTAGAGAATGTTCTTCTGCAACCTTTGTGGCCTCCAAAAACCATATGAAAGCAATCCCTGTTCTTGCACAATTTTCAAAGGCTCTGGGGGGGGGGGGGGGCTATGTGAGAGCATGGCCCTTTCACGGAATTTCCAAAGGGAAATTCCAGAGGCTGTGCAGTAGCTCACCCTATTCTCATGGGGCCTCCACAGCCTCTGAATATCACACAGGAATGGGGCACACTTTTGACATGTTAGTGAATGCTGATGTATCACCCAACACATCGTGACATGCCACTTTTGACATGCTTGTCATATATTCACCATTCCTGTAATTACGCATCCACCCAAACTTTGGCTTCTGGATTTCACAACTGGAAGATTCTATCACCTCTTTTGGTTGGAAAAATTGATGGAATAACTATCGCCAAGTCCGAACTGAGGTCAACTCCTACCTAAATCAAAGGCTTTCATGGATGCTGGTCCAACCTTTCTAGAACATTTGCAAGAGAGATTCATATTCCCCTAGACTAGAGAATTTAATTCCGTGCTTTGAGCTCTTGTAGTCCTACTAGCATTCATACCTATTTCCTATTTTCTGCTCCTCGTCACTCTCGTATTCTGTAAGGATCAGATCTTCCTCACTCACATCGGAAAGCTCCAAAGAATCAGGCTCAGCAGAGGTAGACAAGCTGTCCTTGCTGAGCTGAAGCAGGTGCTCTGCCTCCTTCTCCTCCATCCGCTGAAATAAGCACAAGGAAAACATCTGTCAATCCAAGCCAGGTAATCTGTCATACCTAGGAAATCTTCTGAGTCCCTAACTTTCTCAATGAGGAATTAGTTCATGCAGAAGACCAGAGGGACATGGATGGCTAGATAGATGGATGGATAATAAATATAATTTATTTTTCAATACTTGTCTGTTATACCTACAATAATGGATAGTTACCGCAAATAAATATCAATACAGAAGCCAGTTCCAAAAAAGCAATTCTTATCTAATTATAGATTTAAGTTCATAAATTCCTCATTTGTATATTATCTTCAACTCATACATTGTTCATGTAATTTTCTTTGAGGCACTATAACTTTTGATCAATTTTTTTGTTACAATCCATTACTCTCCAATGTTATTCGTGAAAAAATTATTTTAATTTTTATTCATAGCACTGGAAATGCTCACCTTCCTTTTAGACACATATTTCAATTTCACATTGTGTCGAATTTGCTCAAGGTATGTTTCTCGTTTCTTCCTCTTGATCTGCTCTTCCTAAAGAAATCAGAGAATTGCATGGAAAGTTCAACCACCTGGAACCTGAATTTTTGTTGTCAAAAATATTGCTGTAAAATTACTTCACAACATATAACATTTAATGATTCGTGACAGTTCTGAACAATTCATATGTTGTCAAATATTTGATGGGCAAAGGCCCCAACTGTATTTTAAACAGATGTTATCTTACATTTCTCATTTTAAAATGTTCTCAGTGTAAAATGAGATCTGTTAGTAAGCAAGTCTTTAGATAAACAAAGGAATACCAGATTTTGTCTAATTTGAAAGCATTAAATCATCTACTAAACATTTTAAAATGATAACTGCAACTCTTTTGCTGTCTTTAATACCACCATTGTATTTTGTTCATCTATCTGAGGCTGGGAGGAATAAAGGTTTTTTTAATGAAACACTGGAGTGCCACTAAATATGTTCATTTGTACGTTTCTAAAGCAGGGGTGTCAAACTCACGGTGTTGTGTGTCAAACTCACGGTGTTGCAACTTTTTTCTCCTTCACTAAACCGGGCATCGGCGTGGCCAAGATGTGACACATCTGCCCGCGGGCTGCGAGATTGACAGCCCTGTTCTAAAGTATCATCAATTTTATTTTCTTAGATGCCATTTTCTACTTACAGTATCATATCTAGTGATTCCTCCTTTGACTTTGTTCTTTTTATTAAAAATACAGCACATGCAAAAAGTAGAAGAGTGGTGTTTGATGTTTGCAACTAAAAGAAGAGCATGAGTTACAATGAGGCAAGGGTCAATAGTACACAGTTTTTGTTGTATTGGTAGATCGGTCCCAAGAAGAGACACGAGGCGAGTGACTTTTAAAAGCTCTTTATTAGCTAGGTAGATCTGCTTGCTTGGCTTGGATCGGCAGCGGCTTATATTGGTTTCGCACAGGGTGCTGCGGCCAATGGCAGCCATTCGAATCTCCCGCGATCGGCTCGGCCAATCGCGGTTGCTTTGTAACGGCCAATCAGTGCCGCACACTCGACCAATCAGGTTGCTGTGCGTCTCAGCCAATCCGAACGCAGGTTTATAAGAATGCAAATACAGAACAGTTTTCTATTTATATCTGTAAATACATCATCAGGATTGAATAAAGACGGACCAATAAGCAACCTATTTTTACCTTCAGTCTATGTATCATTTCCTGCTCTTTTTTCTCCTGCACAAATTGCATTATCCAGTCTGGTTCATTGGTCGTTGGCTGGCTGGCTAAAGGCTTTGTATTGTTTTTCTTGAGTTCATCTTCTGCATCTTTTCCACCAATTTTACTTGCTAATAGCTGGGTCTCCTCCAGTTTCTTTTTCTCTTCAAAATCCCGGAGCCACGAGAGAGCACCACAAATCAAACTTAATGATTTACCCTAACAGGGAAGAGGAAATGCAGATATATCTTTATGCCATCACATAAGCCGGATGTTAACATTTCCTAATAAAATTCTAGAAGATTTTAACATTTATATTTGTATTATTTTTGACAAAATATTTTCTAGGCTGGCTATAAGAGTCAAAACAGCCCCCTCTTAGATAGCAAGTGGCTATCCATCCCGCCCATACTCGTCTGGTGAAGTGTTTGCTCTCTACTGCTCCCAATGCTTAATTCAGGTATGTCCCCAGAGTATGGTCAACTAAGACAAAGTGAGTGCATTGCCCACGAAAAACAGGTGGTGCTTCAATCACACTTTCATAGATTCCATATGGACTATTATCAACATTCCCTAGGGACATTCCTGCTCACACCACTATCTTGATAACAGAAAGGTGTGTGTGTTAAAATAAAATAAAAAACAGACTTACTGTGCCAGTTGGGCTCTCAAATATGCCAATCTTTCCCATCTCCAAGACCTGATAAAGTTTAGCCATAAATTGCTCTTGAATGGGATATGGTGCATAAGGAAAGGGAAAGTTCACTCTAGCCTTTTCTTCAGTTTCTTCTGTCATCTCCTGCCTTGAGAGGGAGTGGAAACATGTAAAAAATTTTCCTAAAACAGATGAAACTGTTAGCACAACTCCAAAAGAAAACATTAGACAAACACACACGGAGAACCAAACTGACTCTCAGCAATTCTCAATAAATCTGATAGTTTTAGGTTTCATCTTCCAAAGCATTATAGGACCTCTTTTGTGTAAATTATACATAAACCTGCTAAATAAAGCTTTTTTTATTGTTTTGCACTTTCATTGTTCATTTTTCTTGCTCTTTATATATTAATCTCATTGTTTAAACAAGTGTTTTCTATGTTCTCATCAGCTAATT